CTCAAGACCTGTGGGCCATATCTGGCCCATGGGGTGCTTAGATCTGGCCTGTGAGGCCTGCCTGGAAAGAGCAAAGGACCAGCCTGGAGTGCCTTTGCCAGTGAAAATGAAGCTTGGGGGGCTGCACGGGGCCCCCAGAGCTCCATTTTTGCTAGCAGAGGCCTATCAAAACAAACTAAAAACAAAACAAAAGGAGAAATGTTTCCCCTCTTGCATTTGAGCATGCAAGAAGGGACAGGAAAGGAGAAAGGGAAAGAGGAAAGACAAAGAAAAAGAAAAAGAAGGGAAGATGGGAAGAAAGCAAGGAAGGAAAAATAAGGAAGGAGGGGAAGGAAGAGGAGAATAAAGAGGGAAGAAAAAAGAAGAAAAGGAAGGAAGGGGATTATAATGAGAGGGAGAGTCTCAGGGAAGTCCTGCCTTAGCACTTGGCCACCACAGGTGCCCCTGAGACGAGTCCCGTGTCATGCCCACCATGGTCACGCTCACCCAGCCACGCCCACCCCCGGCCCTCCAAGGTCAAACACAACCTGATGCGGCCCTCAATGAAATCGAGTTTGACACCCCTGATGTAAGAAAATGAGGGAAATTCTACCATTTAGTCATATTCCGATCTTATGCCAAGATCAGCCTCCAGATTAAGAAGCTTCATGCAGATTTGTTTAAGTCAATAAGTAAATGGGGAATCAGTGTGGAAGGGATTGCCACTCTCAAATTGGGCTTTTTAGTCACACTAGATGCTGTTTTAGGACCTCTTTCCAGAGCATGATACCATAGTCTCTTGAGACTGAAGGACGCCAATGATGAATGATGAAATGGGGAAGTCTGGCTATAGGGAGGGAACCTGCAATCAGTAACCTTACATGATGAAACTTTTCTGAAATTTTTGAAGTATTGCTTCTTTTCTCCAGATGTCAAGGAGTTTCAGGACAAGATGCAACTACTTGTCTTAGTTTTATCTCTCCTCAAATGTTGACCCCTGATTTTTTTTTTAAAAAAAAACACCTTTCTTCTGGTATCTGAATATGTATTTTCTCTTTCTCATATATTTTACAAGAAATACACTTACCAGATCATGATCCTGAATAATAGTGAAGGTAACACACTGAACTTTGAGATGAAAAAAGATAAGAGAGCCATAGCCATGTGCATAATTGTCCTGATCATATGGTGATCCATGCTTGCCAAATTAAGGAACCTTTCCTGCTGCATAAAATCAAAGGGTGAGATAATCTTAATAAACAATACTGTTAAATTATGTGTGGCATTATAATTTTAATAGAAGTAGTTAGTTGATGGCTTGGGTAAATAACAGATTTCCTCATTATTCTGCTTAATGATGAAATGATGGCCATAATTTGGATTGCTTCACGGTTAATTATGGAAACTCATGAAAGGTTAGCAGATAATCATGATGGTGATATGCTATCTTCAAGTCAGAAGCAATATGTCCCTTGATGCTGACTGCAGAGGAGCAGGAGTAGAAGGGTTCAATTGATAATGGGTTGAGAGAAGAAACAGTGATTATTATGATTTAAGAGGAAAAAGTCCTGATTATAAACTCTTGCTTACTTGGTTACTGTGGACATAATGCTAGACTAGATACATAGCTTTGGGTTTGAACTACTAAAGCCCTGTTGAGTAACAGGAACTGCTTCTTTGCAAAGAGACAAGTAACCTGTGGAATTTGCAACCACAAAACATACAACTTGGGTAGCTTTAGAAAAAAAAATCAAATATAGTTATGGGAAATAGGACTGTTAAAAACTTATCTGGCAACAGAAGTTATGGATTATTTAAAATCCTAGGGACACTGTACCTTCTAATAAAGGCTTCTGGAAACAAGCTGGATATCTGGTTAGGTTTGAAACAGAACGTTGAATTAGATAGGCCTTCGGACAGATTCCATACGGTTCTTCTTATGCTCTTATGACCAGAAGGTACATCATCTTCAAGTTACTTGAACAGAAATTAATTATATATTATGTTAATTTTGAGAATATCCAAAGAAGGAAAGCAATAATATTCTCAAGTGATGTCCTATGGCTATTGTGGTATCTTCTTTAAGTCTCTCTCTCTCTCCCGCTCCCTCCCTCCCTCCTCCCTCCCTCCCTCCATGCGCATGAGAGCATGTGTGTGTTGTTGTTTTTTATTTATTTTTTTTCATATAAACATTCCATCTTCCCTTAAACAGCATGTTGTCTGGGTACAAATATCTCTGCAATAACCATTAAGATTTACAACAGCATTCATTACATTCGATATGAATTCTCTGATCTTACAATTGTAATATTGAACATAGTAAACCTATTCATTTTTCCCTCTTAACGTATCTTCTAATAAGAATATAATAATAATAATAAGCATAATAATCCTAATACTCATAGCATATGTGTGTTCTATATAGTAGGAAAATGATAGATTCTCTGTTTTCTTAACTTTAGTAATAAAATTACATTGTTTTAACTCTGTTGCCCCACACACGTATAATTTAATATAATGCTAGTAAACATTTACTTAAACATTTTAAGCAATTTTAAATTACGTAACTGCTGTAATAAAAGCTGACTAGATAGCAATCATCCAGATGTTTATATGGAAATAGGACCTGTTCTACATAGTGGGAATTCCTTCTGAATAAATATGGATTATATTATACAATTGGAACAAGTATCTGTGTGTGCGTGCAAAACTAGATGACCTGATGTGACTACTACTAGGTGGGGCTTGGGGGGGGGTGTTTCTCAATAGTCACAACAGGAAATTGTGAGCAAGACAGGATTTGGAGCACCTTTTTAAAGTATTGGGGTTTTAAATTTGTTCAGCCAAATTATTTAATTCATTTTATTCTATTTTAAATTTTGTATTTATATTGTTTTATTCTATGGCTGTTCACCGCCCTGAGTCCTTCGGGAGTAGGGCGGTATACAAATTCAATAAAACTAAACTAAAACTAAACTTTTAAATGATGGAATCTAAGCTACTTCTATAAAGGAGAATATTTGTATTTCAGGGTTGACGTGAAGGGTCCTTGGTGTTCTCTGAGCTTGGCTGTTTTCTTGTCGATGTTTCATTATCCAAACTAGGTAACATTATCAGTGCTAGCCAGGACTAGCATTGATGATGTTACTAGTTTGGGTAATAAAACGTCTGCAAGAAAACAACCAAGTTCAGAGAGCATCAAGGACCCCTTACTTCTGTTTCAATACTGCCCAGGGTTTTAAAAGGTTAACATTCTATATCACTGATGGCTAACCTTTTTGCCATCGAGTGCCAAAAGTGGAGAGAGGGTGGGGGGGTCATGCATGCACGTGCCCACACCCATAATTCTATGTGCCCTGCCCCATGCACATGCGTGCATGCACCCCCTTGCTCCCCCCACTTTTGGCATGCGATGGCACAGTGGGCCACTAGACTTCTGGTGGGACTAGAAATTGGGAAATGGGCCGTTTCGGCCTCTGGAGGGCTTCCAGAGGGGTGGGGGAAGGCCGTTTTTGCCCTTCCCGGGCTCCTAGAAAGGCTTTGGAAGCTGGGGAGAGCGAAAAATGAGCCTTTCTCACCCACCCACCCCAAAGGCCCTCCAGAGGCCGGAAACTGTGTTTCCTGACTTCCGGTGGGCCCAGAAAACCCGAAAATCAGCTGACAGCACATGCATGCGTGCCAGAGCTTAGCTTGCGTGCCCACCAATATGGCTCTGTGTGCCACCTGTGGCACGCGTGCCATAAGTTCGCCATCACGGTTCTATATGTTAATAATTGCTATTGAAGAAGGAATTTCAGCTGCCGTAGAGTGCACGAGCACCCAAATTACTACAGAAGTTTATCCAGAAAAGCATTTTTCTTTGAGCACTATCTCATTTTTTAAGTAAAGGGGGAAATTAGTCACTCTACATAGGTTGGAACCATGAACAAGAGAGGGAAAAAAATGAACATTAAACGCTGCATCTAAATCTGTGGCAGCTATGAATTTGCTGGTCCATGGAGGAAGCTGACATATATGAGTCAAAGGATTCACGTACCACAGTCTAGTATGGTTCCTTTATAACTCAGACCATCATCTAAGCAATATAGTACTTAGACTTATATACCGCTTCACAATGCTTTTACAGCCCTCTCTAAGCGGTTTACAGAGTCAGCAGAGTCCTCAGTTTACCCACTTCGGAAGGATGGAAGGCTGAGTCAACCTTGAGCCTGGTGAGATTTGATCTGCCAAATTGCAGGCAGCTGGCAGTCAGCAGAAGTAGCCTGCAGTACTGCATTCTAACCACTGCACCACCGTGGCTCTAGTTGGATGAGCAGGTGGAGTCAAGGAAAACCCACCTTCTTGAATAGTTGTAGTGTTGTTTACACTCTGCCACATGCAGACATTGTTTACACACATGCCCATGGAAGCTTGCAGGGAGAAAGCAAATTATTTAACCCTCCCAGCTTTTCCCTCCAACCTGATACAAAACAAATCTTTACAGAAAGAAAAATCTAAGATATAATCAAATTCTAAAAGAGAGAACTCACTAACATTCAATTAAACTACAACCTTTGTGGAGGGGGAGGGATAACTATTTTAAATAATTTTATATCTCTCCAAACCTGTGATTGGTAGCAGAGCTCTTTAACAGAAGAAGACCACAATAGTGCAATCACACATACAAACACACACAGATATATTTTTTTTCCTCTACAAGGCAGCAATCCGGAGCAATCCCTTTGAAGGTGCCTTCATTTTCAAAGGGATGTTCTAATATAAGAAAATATTTGTAGCTCCGGGGTGGAACTGTGAGGTCCTTGGTGCTGTCTGAACTTGGTTGTTTTCTTGCAACTGTTTCATTACTCAGCTAGGCAACATTATCAGTGCCAGGACAATATTAGCACTGACGATGTTACCTTGTTGGGTAATGAAATGCCTGCAACAAAACAAACAAGCTCAGGCAGCACCAAGGACCCCACGAAAGGATGTTTCTTCAAATATGCAGGACTTTAGCAGGATAAAATGGAACCTTTCCTGTTGTGTTTAGATCGTGGCATTAACTGAGCGACGCGGAATAAACATAACCAACTGTTTATTACACAAGAGGACAACGAACTGGGCATGAACAATCTGACAGCTCTTTTATACCCGGCTGTCGGCACAGCATAACCAATAGAATCACAAGTAACTCCCGCACTCAAAACAGTCGCATCTCAACCAATCAGGTGCAAGCATTTCAATCACTATGGAATCGCGCCGACACAACACTTCCCAAAACAAACTGGTGGCCAGCTGAGCATACTACTAGCTTTCATATCTGTCAAAAGACAGCCTCTATTTCTGTGATGGCGAACCTGTGGCACGCATGTCACAGGTGGCATGCAGCACCCTCTCTGTGGGCATGTGAGCCATCGCCCCAGTTGAGCTCCATTGCATGTGCGCCAGGGGTGAGTTCTACTTACCTTTACTACCGGTTCGCAATGGGGCCGCGTGCTCTTCTGCGCATGTGCAGAAGTGTTCTGATGATGTCGGGGTTGGTGGGCGGACCCTCCCTCCAGTTTTACTACTGGTTCTATAGAAGGGTGGAGGGGCATGCGGGGGGGCACGCACACATTGAATTTTGGGGGGGGGGGTTGGGTACATGTGCGCATTCGCACCACACTCGATCCGGAAAAGGTTAGCCATCAGTGCTGTATTTTCTTCTCTAGTGAGAATTTATGAACATATTTCAGGGACAATGACTCTGTCCCTGACAATGACTAGGGCAATTCCAGGAACTGGGCTTCAGAATCATAGTAAGGAGCAAAATAACTGTTAAGTTAGTAACAGTCTAACAGATAGACTCGCAGATAGACTCCATCGATAGTTGAAATTCCAAGCATGGTGCTTTAAAGTGGCTATCTGTAGTATATCATACTTAGTAAAAGGATCTCCTTAGAGATCCTCAACGCTATATTCTTGGCATTCATTTTCCCCCTGATCCTCTGAAATAAAACTTCTTCAATTGAGACTACTGCTCTTGGATGTGCTGACAAATTAAATAAATTATTATTAACGTGGTGGTGGCAATTGTCATTCTAAACTTTTGGAAGGTGTTACTAGATCTTAAGTGGAGACTAAAAAAGGCAATAATATTCAGTCACACAGTTTTGGACAACTCCCAGGAAAATGTAAAGTACCTTCATTGCATCACTGTGTGCCGATTTTGTAACCCAACCTGCTTGAAGAAATTTTTTTGGAAACTATTTATTTCATAATTGCCTATGTTATAACATGATTTGAAGGTTACGATCATGTAATTACTTTCCTGGGAATAAGCCTTATTGAACATCACTTATCAGGAGAATTTACAAGACTGTCCTATATAAATCCAAGACCTTTCTCTTTTCAAGGAAATGTAAGTTTTATTTTTGAAGAGGTTGTATTCTTTAAATTTTATCAGTCATTAGTGAATCCTTTACATCCACTAAAACAGAACAAACAGTACTTAGGCTGCACCCCTTTGGTCCTTGGGACGGTTCCAGATACCATAGACTGAATTAGATAATGTCTTCCAAATTTCCAAGCCCTCTAAAATTGGAGGTGGAAATTCAGTACAGGTTGTCCTCAACTTACTGGTATAACCATTCATTTAGTGACCATTTGAAGTTACAATGGTACAGAAAAAAGTCATGTCTGTGCGTTTTTCACACTTACGACCATTGCACCATCCCCATGGCCACATGATCAAAATTCAGACATTCAGCAACTGATATGTATTTTATAAAGGTTGCTGTGTCCCGGGGTCATATGATCACCTTTTGTAATCACCAGATAAGCAAAGCCAATGGGGAAGCCAGATTCACTTAACAACCGTGTTACTAACTTAACAACTGTAGCGAGTCACTTAACAACTGTGGAAAGAAAGGTCATAAAATGGGCAAAACTCACATAACAACTGTCTTGCTTAGCAACAGAAATTTTGGGCTCAATTGTGATTGTAAATTGAAGACTACCTGTAATTCTCTGTCCCTTATCTTGTTGGAAATATCAACACTATGCTTCCTTCTCTTGGGTTTACTGCTAGAGTTGGAAGAAGAAAAAGGGACATTCAGACACTGTGAAGCAGATTGGAGAAAGCTTTGGATCCAAATATTTCCAAGATCTCCACCTTAACCCCCTCAGCTAGGGAGAAAATAGCCCATAGATTAGTTTCTAACATTTTCATTGTACCATTTTGAATAGAGAGGATTAAAACACATAAATGGGGAGGGAGAGATGCAAATGTAATCCTCCTAATTTTAAGTGTTTTGCATTACATTTTTTACCTATTATTATTCTGTAAACCTACCTACAGATTCTGTAAATCTGTAGACTGGCTGCAACAGTGAGTACAGATTTAATAAATAAAACAAAATTCTCTCCACCCTAGCTTCCATGAGACAAACACGTTCATAAACTAGTTGAAAAATTTTCAGAGTCTTACCTGAGAAGGGAAATATCATCAGGACTCTTCTCTTACTTTTTATTTCTCCTGCAGTTGTGGATATCTGCATTTTGAAGCGGGGTTGAGGTGTCTTTAAAAACCCAGTTGGGATATGCGGAGGAGTAAATGTAACTAATTCTTCCTCCCACTCCTACAAGTCTTTGGAAACTGAAGTGTTCCAGAGCCTGCTCGGCCTCATATTTCAGTGTCTTCCACCAAAACATGAAAGATTCTGTGATGTAATCATAAGGGCCAAAGACTATTGCATCCTTCGATCCATTCCTTGCCTGGGCAACCTCCAAGTCTAAATCAAATAAGCATCATGTTTCATTTCACTGAACACCTCCCATGTCTTGAAAGTGCATGGACCTTCAATGAATTGACTGTCAATCTTCTCCTCAAAGTGAAGACAATCAAAAGAAAGATCTAAGGATACAGCAATGAGAAACAATCTCCACCCTAAATGCAGATAATATTAATTTATTTGAAGAGCACCAACCTAACCAGTTAACTGGAATGTCTTCAGAGATAGTACTATTTTGATTAGAGGTTAGTATGAGATGAGCCACTGAAGAGCAAGATCAACTGATTAGAGTTATGATATCAAGTCTGCCATGAAATGAAACATTATGGGACCTTATGCTAGTAAGGGTATGCAAGTGAAAGCTGGGCTTTGAAGAAACAGGATAGAAAGAGCACTGATTATTTTTAACTTTGTTGGAGACGACTCCTGAGAATACCATGGATAGGCAAGAAAGCAAACAAACAAATGGATCATTGAACAAATCAACTCAGTGTTCTCATTCCAAACACAAATGACCAGGTTCATCCTACTTTAGACACATTATATGAAAACCCTGCTCTCTAACATTGGGAAAAATGGAAGAACAGAGAAGAGGACAATCAATAACCAGGTGGATGGGCCATGTTACAATGATGAAAGATGCACTACTGGAAGACCTGAAATATTAGGTTGGAGAGAAAATCTCTCTATGTGTGTCAGGTGCAGGGAACCAGAAGGACTCCATGACCAGGTCAAAATTTTTCTAACCGTGAGAATAATTAACTAGGGGAACAGCTTGCCTTCAGGAATTATGGGTGCTCCATCACTGGAGGCTTTTAAGAAGAGACTGGACAGCCACTTATCTGAAATGGTATAGGGTCTCCTTTTTGAGCAGGGGGTCAGACTAGAAGATCTCCAAGGTCCCTTCCAAGTCTGTTATTCTGTTAATAGCCTTCTCTTGGATACAAACAAAGGCTTCAGTAGTCTAGCTAGCCTCCTCTAGTTGCTTCCTCTCACACAACTCTAAACTAGCTCCCCTCTTTACTTTCCCCTCTACTCCACTCTAGGTTCCATCACAATGTGGATGCTAATGACTTGGCAGCACATAATCAATCCCTCTAGTAAAAGGATCCCAGGGAAATTGTAAGAACTTACTGGCTGAGACCTAAGACTGAGAATTCTGCAGGTTGTTGTCCTGGAAGGTATACGATATTTCTTCTGACTTCACCATTTACATTTCTTTCTCCTTGCTTTGGGATACGGTGAATCCCCTTCCCAACATTTGCTTTTATCTGCAACCCAATTAGTTGGAATATTATCCATGAAACTTGTAGCACAATAATTTATTTATTTTTTTCAGGTGGCACAAGATAAATTTGTGCCAAAGTGAGAGAGATGTAGGATGCTTCCAAATATTTTTTTTAAAAAATTATGCTTATCCTGGAATTCAGATCGTAGTTTGGATTGGAGTCAGATGCACATTTTACAAACATTCCCACACTTTTATCTCACCTAAGCTGTGGTAATTTACAGTGTAGGATCTATGAGTAATATGAAGTATTGCAGTATGAGATAGTTGATTTCTTAGATCAAACAGGTGTCAATTGGTAGAAACCTGTCTGGTTTTTGATCTACAATAGAATGGCACAATTCTGGTTCAGGTTTTTTTTCTTTTTCTGGAAAAGAAAAGAGCAGAAAAATAAGGAAAGGAGAATGGAATTCATTCAAAGTTTACTAACTGCCTACATTCCCAATATGCTGACATTTTGTACAATTTCTATGCAATTTATATAAGAACTAATAACAGTCTTCTTTAAAACGTACATCACTCTGTTTTTATTCTTTGACCTGAACATTTCCTTTGCAAAGGAAAAATTTCCCCTATACATGCTCTTTTTTTTTTATTGCAAAAGTTTTACAATTACATTTTCACCCCATTTTCCCCCCCATCCCACCCCCCGCTCCCCACCCTAACCCCCCTCAAACCCCCCCTAACCCTCCCCCCTGACTTCCATGAAGTATAATCCCATCAAAGTCCCCTTTTTACAGAACTTGAACCCCTCAAACCCCCTTAGAAAAAAAAAAATTCCCCCCCCTCACAGTATTCATACATTTCTATTTTTATATAATACTTTCAATGAAAAGCTATTTGGTATTTCCTAACTTGATATTTGTTCTGCACATAATCTATCCACTTTTTCCATTCCCATTCATAAGTCTCTTGTGGGCGATCTTTTAAAAATGCTGAAATCTTCGCCATCTCCGCAAAACTGGCCATCTTCAAAGTCCATTCTTCAATAGTGGGTAAAGACTCATTTTTCCAATATTTACCTATCAATAACCTCGCTGCTGTGATCATGTACAATATCAACTTAATTTCATCCAGTGTAAAACCCTTTACTATACCCAATAAGAACAATTGTGGGGAAAATGGAATTTTTCTCTTCAAAACATTCTGCATAACCCACCATATTTTAATCCAAAAAGCCTTAACTTTCTTACAATTCCACCAAACATGATAATATGTAGCATCTAAACAATCACATCTCCAACATTTTGGCTGAACATTAGGATACATACAGGATAATTTCTTGGGATCTAAATGCCATCTGTAAAACATCTTATAAAAATTTTCCCTCAAATTCTGCGATTGTGTAAATTTAACATTCTGAACCTATATCTTTTCCCATGTTTCTAACATCACTGGTTCTTCAAAATTTTGTGCCCACTTAATCATACAATCTTTAACCAATTCAGTTTCTGAATCCCTTTCTAACAAAACATTATAAAGCCTTTTAATATGCATTGGACCTTTCTCTTTTATATGTCTGACCAATTCTTCCTCATGCAACATAATACCAGTTTTTTGGTCCTCTTTCCATCTCAATTGTAGTTGATTATATTGTAACCAAGTTAAATTAATTCCTTCATCCAACAGTGCCTGTAATGTCTTCAACTGCCATCTGCCCGCATCTGTAAAAAGAATCTCTTTATATAAAAACCCCCCGAGTGACATTATATTTGTATTCCACATAGTATGACCAAGATCCAGCCATAACGGTATTTTGTAATCCCATTTGAGTCGGTGCTTCTTCCAAACTCTCATCAAAGAGTCTCTAAGTATATTGGGTTTTGCTGGCTCCGGTGAAGACGGTGCCTTTTTAAGGTCCGCCAGCCCCGCCGTTTGTAGAGCCGCTTCGATCGTGAGAAGCGGCTTGAAAACTCCAGAATCTGTAGGATTTGAAGGAGAGAGTTGGCAAGGTGCAGGTTGAGCCCCTGTGAGCCCCCAGGAATTTGCTACTGGGGAGGAAACAGGCGTGGCTCCCTTTCAACTTGCAAAGACTCCGGGCGGCGTAGGACGACTCTGTTTATTGCAGAGCAAGCCGGCAGCAGCAAACACAGCCGATTGAATTTAACCTTACTAATTAACGGAGAAAAAAAAAAACCCGAACCCTGAAACCAAGGAATTGCAAGTATTTCCCTTTCTTTGTGACTTTTTGATCTGACTAAAAACTGAAGTGAGTGGGAGTGGCTTGAAAAGATGGCGCCGCTCCAGCGCTAACAAGTTAACAAGCTGAAAGGGAAAGTGACTCTTTGAAGCTATTCTAACAAGTTACATTGTAGCGCTGTTTGTTGCGAGTACAGGAGAAGAGGGGTGAGAAAAAAAAAAATCCCTTTCTAAAACAAGCTGACTTCACACAAGTTTAAATTTACTTACTTCTAACCTGATTAAAACTGGGGGATTTTCTAAGAGGACTTTGTGGTGCTGGAAGAAGAAAAAGGATTTCTTTTTTTAGAAAATCTAACTCACGAGGTAAAATGGCCTCTAAAAAACAGGAAAGCAAGGCAGCAGGGGGGGGATCTCCCACACATAAGCCTGAAGAGCAGTTTGATTTTGAAAGTTTAAAAACATTTATCACGCAGGCTTTGGATGATAAATTTCAAAAATCCCAACAGGAAATTAAGCAGGAAATTACTGAAATGAAAAATTTGGTGAAAGAGAATTATGACAAGGTGACTGATAAATTATCAAATGCAGTTTCTGGCCTGTCAGAAGTTATCATTAAAGTGGACTCTAAATTGGAAGAATTTAAATCAGAAGTGAATGTTAAAATAAAAGATACTGATTTTAAAATTTCTGATGTGGATAATAAAGTGCAGAGAGTTGAAGATGAAATCACGATGATGAAATTCCGGTCCATGGAATTTGCTATAAGAATTAGAGGTATCAAGGAGAGTGACCGGCAAGATCTGAGACAGGTTTGTGCTGATGCCTTGGCTGTGTTGTTAAAAATTGATCCTGATGAGATTTTATGCAAAATAGATAAAATTTACAGAGTGAACTCGTGGGTGGCCAGACAAAGACAATTACCAAGAGACGTGGTGATTTATTTCACAGACAGAAGAATGAGAAATGATATTCTGCAAAAATCTTTTCTTTCCTCTGTGCAAGTTGAGGGAACTCAAGTTGGAATTTATAAAGAGTTACCGCCAAAGATGCTGAAAGATAGAAAAGATTTTGGTTTTCTAGTAAAGGAATTAAACAAATTACAGATTCCATTTCGGTGGGATGCCCCAACGGGTATAATTTTGAAGTACCAGGGGGAAAAACACCGACTGAATACTGTTGAAAAAGCGGAATATTTTTACTACAATGTTTTTAAAGAGAGGTCACCATCCCCACGCTCATCTACTGTACTGGAGATAAAGGAGAGTGAGAAGGAGAAGCAACCCCAGCAAGAATTGGAAGCGCAGCTTAAGCAGATTGAACTAGATCCAACGGAAGCGCAG